CAATGGCAAGGCCATGGCCTCGACAGCACCCCAGGACTCTGCACCAGAACCCCGCCCTCCCTGAGGCCTGCGGGGCCGCCACCGCCCGTGGGCACCCTGCCCTGACACGGATGCTCTGAATCTGTGTCATGGCCACGCTGGCCCGTGTGTCTGCTGGGCTCTGGGATCCAGCTAGTGTGGCCGAAGGACGGATCTCTAAGTGTGAGCAGCCGCAGAGACAGGGGCCACCGTATCGGACCACGCCGATGCCACCTGCAGAGGCCCAGACGGAAATCCTGAGAAAGCATGTCGCACGTTACACACGATGGCGAGTGCCCCGAGGCTCTGCGGGGTGACTGGGCAACCACAGGGAGCGGGGAAGCCCCCAGCTCTGACTCGGAGCCAGGTCTGACGGCTCAGCGTCTCCATGGGCCACAGGGCATGTCTGACCTGCCAGCTCCCTGGCAGGTGCCAGGGAGAGGAGGCAGGGCCTGGCACAGACCCAGGCGTGCGTGGGGCCCCAGCTGAGCCTGAACAGCCTGGACGTGGAGTCTTGGGGCAACTCCAGGTTGTCGCTCTCCAGCCTGGCTGAATGTCCCGATGGAGTTGGAAGCCGGGCCCCTCGGAAGAGAGAATGGACAGGGGCATCGAGAGACAGGCCGGGTATCTGCTCCCAGCCCAGCCATGGGCCTGGGCTGAGCCGGCCAAAAGAAAAGGGCCAGAGCAGCGGCTGAAGAACTTGGACCCACAGAGAGGCCAGGGTCCCCTGGAGTGGAGGGAAGCCCAGGCATGGCCTCCCCTTTTCCTGGACCTTCTGTAGCTCTGCTTCTGTTAAGGGTCAAGGGAACACGGCACCATGCTGTACCTCTGGGCATGCGGTCGGCACCTCACAGACGGTGGCCCTTAGCTGGCTCGGGAGGGGGGCCAGGGCACGAGGGTACTCGCTCTGAGCGATGGAAGCGCCCCAAGGGCATGGGCTTACCAGAGGGGTCCCCGGAGGGGCTCCGGGCTGGGCTGGCAGTGTCAGGAGTCATGCTGGCGTGACCCCACTGCACCCAGGCCTGCCCGAGGCTGGGCAGGGTCCCGGAGGACTCTGACCACGCAGACGGTGGACCCCTGACACCGCTGCCCTCCCCGGCTTCCTCCAGGCCCAGGCCAGGCCAGTGGCATGTGAGCTGGGAGGAAGCTTCTGCGGGGCACAGTGCGGAGCGTGGCCTCAGGCCACGGGCTGGGGAGGCCGGCAGTGGTGACTGCAGCCTGCGTCCCCGTGGGGCGAGCAGGGACCGTGTGTTACGTCACCACCCCTCCGCCTAGAAGCACCAGGAGTGAGAGCACTCGGATACATCCGTGCAGGAGAGGGCCGGGACAGAACAGCTCACAAAGCCCCCGTACCCGGGGAGGTAGGTCCCGCACGTCAGATGGCCGAAGTCAGAGCCGTCACAGTCCTCCACGCCCTCGTGCCGGTGACCATCTCCACAGTAGGCCCGGTGACAGCCTGAGGGACAGGGAGTGAGACTGAGGAGGGCAGCAGGGACAGTTGGCCTCAGTCTGGAGAGGGCGTGTGGCCCGAGGCCGGCTCCGAGCACTGTGGCTGGGAAGAGCCATCCACAGGGTTCCAAACGCACCCGGGGTGCCCGCAGGCCTGAACCCCACTGCGGGATGCGCCGTGGGACGGGGGCAGGGGAGCCGGGCTCTGGCCCAACTTTGCCACTTACTAGCCAGGAGATGAGGGACTTGCACACCGTCACCTACGAACTGGGACATGACACCGTCTCCCTGCCCAGGACCCAGGTGGGGTCTTGTTTGGGGTGAGGGCTGAGATCGCCCAGTGAGGGCAAGGGGCGACCCCTGTCTGGGAACAGAGAGCTTCCAGGTGGGCGAGGCCGGCCGGCCCAGCCCCAGCCCCCAGGAGCTGCACGACCTGCAGCAGAGGTCCCGTTCTGGTGGAAGGGGTCTGGGAGGGCATGTCTGACACAGACGTGGAGACCCCACACGGCCTGCGTCCTCGGGGCTGCCATCCTGGGGGCTGCCTGGGGGCAGCACAGCTGGGCGGACGAAGCAGCTTCCCCTGCAGCCACCCTGGCACCCTGGGTCCACACTGCCACCCTCCCTGGAGCTCTGAAGGCCAGCTCGGCCTGGGCCCCGCCCTGAGGAGTTGGCCATGGCGCAGAGCCTGCTACTGGGACAGGCCGTGTGGGTGTGGTCAGACGCCCAGGGCCTGAGCGGTGGGACCACTACGCTGTCGCAAGGTGGCAAGGCAGAGAGCCATAGATGCCCTCACCCCTCCTCCAGCCGCTGTGCCTGTCTGAGCCTGAGCGCCAGCCGGCTGCCGGGGCCTGCATGTGACCCGCAGCGTCCACAGCGATGCCTTCTGCCTCGCGCCTGCCTCAGCCCTTTGATTTAAAAAGGAAATCAGCCAGCTTTCTAGCTCCTGGCTGTTCCCATAACCCCGAGGCAGCTCAGGCGGCCCAGCTCCTGTAAGAAGAGCTTGCAGGGCCAGCAGATGGCATAGTGGTTATGTCGCTGGACTCCCATGTAGTCAGTCACCTGCAGTTCGAGTCCTGGACCTGGCAACTTAAAACTGACACCGGGCATGTGTGTGTGTGTGTGTGTGTGTGTGTGTGTGTCCAAAATCCCCAGGGGAGAATGGAAGAGAAGGGACTGCAACGTGCCCTCCCCCGCCCGGGCGGTTGTTTCCTGCTGTCTGCCTCCCCAGTGAGCACACACCCTATGACAAAAATCTCTCATAAGAAAAACGAAGGGCTTTGCCCAGAGCTCGGACAGGTGAGTCCTGGTCCAAACTCCGGCCTCTTCCCCGCACTCAAGGCTGGGGCTGCTCTTGGGGGTCAGGAAGTCCTCTTAGGGCTGACGTGTGCCAGTGGGGAAGAGTGGGTGGGAGGGAGGTCCCTGGGGAGCCCGGGTGCACCTCTCGGCTCTGGAATGGACCGACTGCCACCACTGGCACCCACAGCCGCCCCGCCCTGCCTGCTGGCACCCGGGCTCTGGCGCCCTGGGCCCACTCACGGATGCAGCCGTCGCCCATGCTGTCATTGCCGTCATCACACTCCTCTCCAGGCTGCAGGACCCCGTCCCCACAGGTGCCGCGCTGGTCCACGGTGTAATCCACAGGGTAGAACGGGGGCGGCTGCCCAAGAACACACAGCGCTCCCTGGGGGTGACTGCCCAGGCAGCTGGGGGGTAGGGAGGTGGCTGGCCCTGGGGACACACTCTGGGGGAGCTCCCAGGTCACATGGGGATGGCCTCCAGGCAGTGCAGGACAGGAGAGAACCCGCTCAGAGGAGCTGCATTTGGGGAGGGAGCACAGAATGTTCTGGAAGCGAAAGGGAGACAGGCTGAGGACGCAGGGCCCCAGACCCTGTGCCTTCCTCGCGGCTGGGCTGTCCCTCTCCGGAGTGGGGGGTAGTGGGCTGCGCCCCAAGGTGCCTGCCTCTGGGTACCTGGATGGGAAGCCAGCCCAGGCTGTCCTTGAAATATAGAGACCTCTGGTCTCTGCGGAAGGCAATGGCGTTTTGGGTGTTCAGCCTTTCAAGCTCTTCCTGGTTGTTGACCACAAAAATCTGCCAGAGAACACACCATGAGGGTTCCAGAAAACATTTGTACAGGGCTGGGGTGGGCAGCGAGCAGGGCTGGAGAAGGAAGCAGAGTCCTGTCCTTGGGCTGACTGCGGGGCATGTCACTTCCACACTCCTCCCGGGGTGGGGAGAGAGGTCTCGATGCCCACGTTCTCCATCTAGCTCTTACTGTTGAGTTCGAAATTGAGAATACCCATTGTGGGGCCAGCAAGTGGCATAGTGGTTAAGGTGCTGGACTCCCACATGAGACCATGGATCGAGTCCTGGACCCAGTAGCTTGAAACTCGCGCTGGGCACGTGTGCATGTGTACCCAAAATCTCGAGAGGAGACTGGAGAAGGGACCTTTGGGGTGATGTCTCTCTGTCTCTCCAGTGAGTGCATGTGCCCTATAGCAAAAACCTCTAAAAAAAATGCCCACTGCAATTTAACATTTTTAAACATTCGACTATTCCCAAGATCTCAATTAAAAGGCGATGTTATACAGTCAAGTAATTCAACATCTGGAGATGATTCTTTTCTTTTAAAGAATTATTTATTCTATCTTATTTATTACTGTTGTTGTTTAAATTTGCTGAAGGGCATATATGCTTACCAGAGAGCGAGCAAGAAAGTGATAACCAGCCCAGACTTCACCCTGAAAAGCCTTACCACCGGAACTCGCAGGGAACGGGGCCCAGGCACGGAGTCGCCATAGGAGGGGTTATTCACACGCAGAGGGGGTCCACACAGGCATCTTCCTGGGGGCCCGGGAAATCCTCTTTCCCCCTTGGGTCCTACTCCTAGTTGTCCTAGGAAGCAACAGACTGCTACGTTACTAAAGGCCAGGAAGAGACAGTCCGCCCCAGGGAGATGTGAGCAACCTTCGAAGTAGAAAGGTTAAAGTCCACAGCATTCCAGGGCAAGCTTGCGGGAGAAGTTTAAAGAGATACTTTTGATTCAATATGTGAAAGAGAGAAGGGAGAAAACATGGCTCACGGGATGTGGCTTCTCCCTCCTTCCTGCCTGGACGACAATGTCTGATGCTACAGCAGCCACACTGCGACCATGAGGTAGCAAACACACGCAGAGAAGCTAACACGAAAAAGGCAAAGGCTCATGGGCTTGGGGCCCCAGTAGGAGCATTCGAGGTTAAACTAACGCTGGCTACTGTCCACCTCTGGATTTCCTGGCTGGAGAAAAACACGCCTTCTTTGTTTAGACATCCACTAACAGAAGGCTTCTTTGGTACTTCCTATTGTTTTGGCTTCCTCGTGTGCAGGGCTTTGCAGAGGCAGTTCTAGGTGCAGGCGCCCTTTATTCACTCTTGAGGGGAGCCTCTGTAAATGTTCACCCTCCTACTCTCCCTGGGACTGAGAAGGGTCCAGACATGTCCTACAAAGACGTCATCAGGAAATGGACTCCCCAGCAATGTGAGAAAACTCGCGATCATTATCAGCTTGACTTTTACAGGCTCTGATGCCCCGGCCACATCCCAGACTAATTCCATTATGACTTCTGAGTGGTTATGTCGCTGGACTCCCACATGGCCGACCAATAGTGTTCGAGTCCTGGACCCGGTAGCTTCAAAATTATGCTGGTCCGGGAACCAGCAGTTAGCGTAATGGCTATGTCGCTGGACTCCCACGTAGTCGACCGCGGTTCGTGTCCCGGACCCGGTGGCTTAAAACTCACGCCGGGCGCGTGTGCGTGCGTGCCCAAGATCCCGAGAGGAGAATGGAGGAGAAGGGATTGCGGCGTGACCATCCCCCCTGGGGGGTGATTTCTCGCTTTCTGTCTCTATGTCTCTCTCTGTCTGTCTGGCGAGCGCACGCGCCCTACAGTGAAAATCTCAAAAAAAAAAAAAAAAAAAGTAAGTAAAATTATGCTGGTCCAAGCTCTCTGCACTGGCGTCAGAGGAGACGCTTCCCTCAGTCACCAGGGCTTCCGTCCAAGCTCTCTGCAGCAGTGAGAGAGCGAGAGAACCCTGGTAATGCCTGAAGCTGAATTTTCCTGGCATCCTGATGCCTGGAGTCTCTGTAAACGATCTCACAGATGTGGCACTTCTTGCCTCTCCTGTCATGGCACTTCCTACCTCTCCTGTGACGTGGCTGCTAATGCAGTCCTGTGAACAGGAGGGGAAGGAGCCTTGTGGAATTTTAAAATTTCTTCATTTTCTTAAGGAAAAGGCTGGAATAAAAACATCTCGATTCCATTGGTGTTACTGAGGATGACAGATTGCGCTCGGCCAGTGAGGTCTGCTTGGGCTGGAGTGGCTGTCTGCTCGCAGGGCTCTGTGAGAGGCCGCGCTCAGGCTGACAGGGACGGGGACAGGGACAGAGTGAGGGTGAGCTACTGCATCAGGGGAGGTGACGCGGAGCAGGCGCCGACGCCCTTCTCAACCCTGCAATAGATTGCGACTTTTCTGTTGTTTTCTGTTTCTGATGCAGTCAGACATGTTTGTAATACTATGAGATAGAAAAACCTGTAATGCCATCTTTATGCAAGATCTGGGCAATCGCTTGAAGCCATGAAACACGCTTTTCTGTAAAAAATAGCAGTTGATGAAACAAATGCCTGTTATTTTCCCTTCGAGTATGAATAACATCAACAAGTACTTTTTCTTCTTTTTGTTCTGCAAATAGCTAAATGAATGGCGCTTCCTTTCTAGGGTAGGAGTTGGATGAGCCAGACTCTGGACAAAGCATAAAGTGCCGGAGTACTATCGGACAGTCCCTAACTTAGTACGGGGCAGGGCCCTGCTGCGGTCTCCCTGCATCCACTCCGGGGGTCTGGCTGGGGCATGGCGTTGTACCTCAGGTGAAGCAGGGCAGCTCTTACCTGCAGAGAGGGGACCTGGGGGGCCCGGGGGGCCTGGACGACCAGGTTGACCAGAAGGCCCAGGCTTGCCTGGCGGGCCCACGACGCCACTCTCTCCCTTCTGACCCTGACAGAGAGAGCAGAGCCCATTGTGACAGCGTGACGTGGCATCCTTCCTCCCCTCGTGTCTCTAAGTCAGGGACCCCTGCGCTTAGGGACGAGAACCCAGGATGAGATGCAGCCTCAGAGGTCTTGACCACCAGACTCCTAAAAAGCTCAGGGCAAGAACCGGTGGCAGCTACAAGTTTGCAGGCCTCAGTTTTTGTGCTGTCCTTGGAACATGGCGCATGACAGCCGGAAGGAACCGACGGGATCCGTTCCCTTTCCTGGGGAGGGGAGAAAGAGCAGGGATTTACGCAAGTCACCCAGCAGCCAGCTGGCGGGGTCGGGCCTAGAACTCGGGTCTCCGGCCTGCTCACACTGCTTTACTAAGCCACAAACACTGTCCGCACGCAATGGCTTCCCGTGGCTTTTGGATAGACACGCCTCCTTACTGCAATGTGTGCAGCCCACAGCAAGGCTTTCTGGTCTCGTCCCAGCCTTCTGGCCTTCTGGGTCTGCCAGGGCACCATGCCTCCTACCCTGCTCCTCCGAGCCCTTCTCTCTGCCCATCCCTCTTCCCTCCTCTCTGCCTAATTACTCCCCACACACCCTCCTGTGCTCAGCCGGAACCCCCATCACAGGCTCCCCTAACCCGGCCCCTCCCTTCACAGCATTCACCCCGGACGGCGGCCTGTGTGTTACCGGCACGGTCACTCCATCAGCGCCTCCCCTGACAATGAGCTCCCTCTGGGGCAGAACCCCCATCACAGGCTCCCCTAACCTGGCCCCTCCCTTCAAGGCATTCACCCCGGACAGCGGCCTGTGCGTTACCGGCACGGTCACTCCATCAGCACCTCCCCTGACAGCTCCCTCTGGGCAGAACGTCCTGTTTTCCTCTCTTGCTTAAATTAAATGAGGGAGGAGAAAAAACTAAAAAACACAAAGGGGAGGTGGCTTTGCTGACCCGTAAGCCCATGAGACCTGGGTAACCCCTGTGCTGGCCTCGGTTTTGTCATCTGTAAAACGGGACCAGAAATACCATATCCCTTTGTTGGGAGGCCAGAAAGAGCCCGGAGATGGAAGAGCGATGAGCCCAGAATGAAGACACATGTGGGACATGCGGGCCTTGCAGAAGCGGGACCGGCTTCCTCTTCCCGTGCAGTTAAGGACATCTTGATTTCTTTATTTGTAAGTTTATGCCACGAGAAAGACCAGGCCTCATGGTGCTGCAACTACTCCCTTCTCCCGAGTCTTCCCTCGACCCAGTGTGATTAGCTGGACCTGGGATCTGAACCCGGGGCTCCCATGTGGCCCCGGCCCGCACAGCAGCACTGACTGCACTGGGCCTTGATCTCTGCCGAGGAGCACATCTGCCTCCACAGCTTGTAGCTGCCCGCCCCGGCCTTGAAGAGCAAAGGTCGGGCTCTCTGCTCCCCCTCCAGGCTGCCCTCGGGAGTGACCCCAGAAACCACAGCTGGGCGCGCTCTGAGCTACTCCCCTGAGCACTTCACTAACTGCCCACGCCCTCGGCTCGCCCTAACCAGGACAGTGACAGGTACCAGACAGCTTCGGGGAGTCTGGGAAGCAGGCATGCTGGGGACTCCTTTCTAATCACCAGTGACATGTGACCTGCCAATTGTCAACAAGGTCCTGGGGCCCTCCCAGGAATGTCCAAGAAGTTCTTGAACTCTTAATACGGGACCCATGAGGTCAGAGTTTGTTTCCAGTTTCAGCTCCATCCAGGGAGCAGTAAGCCTTGGCCTGAGCTGAAGCATTCCACGCAGTAGCCAAGACGGGCAGAGGAAGTCGCAGCACCTCAATATAGCCGGCGAGGGCTGCTTTCCACGGCCATGCCAGCTGGCTCTGCGCACAGGAAGTGCCAGCGCTGGGAGCAGCTGGAAATGCTCCTGGTTCTCACACCGCGCTGCCGGAACATTCTGTGGGCAGCACTGGCTCCAAACGAGCCACGTTTCTGTCGGCGGGACTCACTGAACACCGCTCTCCAGGAAAGGGGTGCTCCAAGTTGGGTGGGCTCTCTGGAAGTAGTTCTATCTCTCTGACTGAGGGCTGTCTATAACAGTCAGCAGCCGCTTCCCAGGGCCTTCTGGAGGTCTAAGGCCATGAAGGTGGTTTGGAGAGGAGGTGTGGGGAAAAGCTGGTCTCAGCTCTCTAAGGTCCAGCCCTGGAGGCGCTTGGATACTGGTCTGTCTTCGCGTTCTGGAAGCTTGGTCCCCAGTCTAACGGCTTTGGGATGTGGGGACACCTTTAAGAGGTAGATCTTAATAGGAAGTCACTATCCAGTTGGCTGGGGCAGGGGAGGCACAAGCAGGTGAAGCGGGGCTCCGTCTCCTCTCTCTTCACACCTGACCGCCCTCCTCGCTGCATCTGTCAGCCAAGTTTAGATGTGGCTCTGGGGCCTGACCGAATGCCTTTGGACTTCCAGCCACTAACATGGTGGGTAAAGAAGCCTCTATTCTTTTCTTAAACAATTATATTTACTATTATTATTTAATTTGAACACAAAGAGAGAGGGAAAGTGAAAAAGCAAGCCACCAGGTCCGGGACTTCAACTGTGGTCAGTCGTTGAGAATCACAGGGGTCGCTTTACAAACAAAACAAACCCAGCTGAAGGCCCGTTTCAGGTCAGTTACACCAGAATGCTTGCGAAACAAGGTCTAGGCACTAGGGAGGCTGGGAGGCAAATGTGGACGACGACCCAGCCCGCCCGCTGTGGGGTCTGTTGGATCAGCCTCCAGATGCTTCTGGAGGCCGTGGGCCGGCTGTGAGGACCAGGGCCCAGCCCACAGGAATAATCTAAGAATGCGGAAGAGCTCCGCACCCCAACATGTTCGCGTCTCGGCACTGCACACCGCATGTCAGGCCTCTCGGGCCTGAGCGATTGCGGCTTGCTCATGTAGTGCCCACGGGATCGGGCAGACACGCGGACACTAACTCTGAGTTGATGATTGAGGGCACAGTGACGATACCCTGGAGTTCACAAACACAATTCGAGGGCCAACCCCTCGGCCTGGTGTCGGAAGACGCCTAACCCGCGGGGCCCACCGCGCAGTTCAAGTCCCGGCCCCAGTGCAGGAGCGCCCGAACCCCGAGATGTGTGGCTGTGGAGAAGGCGTGGTGGCGCGGCCAGTGCCCCCTCTCTCTGTTCTCGGAGGCACACAGCCTCCAGCGCATTTAAAAGACAAACCAAGAAGCCCAGAAAGTATAAAAAGCACTCATATTGGGAGGAAACAGCCGTGAGGACCCGAGAACCACCACCGATGGCTATGTCTCGGTGTTGGGCCTGCGGAGATCCCCCTTTATTTCTGAATCTTCCTAGCTTTCTATGATCATAATCACATTTGTGAAGTGCCATCTGAATTTGGTCTTTTTCAAGTAAAAGGGGCAGAAAAAGTAGAGATGTATTTTCTCTCAGGAACTTCTTTACATTAGAGAAAAGACCGGAATTTTCTGAGGCATGTGACAGTTAGAGCCAGTCAGGACCAAAGGACCTGCCTCCTTTTCCCCTCCATGTCCCACGGCTTCACTTGGGGGCCTGCTCATCGGGAGTTCAGAAAGGGCAAACGCCCTGGAACCCCAGTAACCCAACAGACAAGGTCACTTACAAATCGAGGGCCTGCGAAGAGGAAAACTCCCCATCACTGAGACCCAGAATTCCCTCCAACAGCAGGGAAACATCTGGGTCCTTTCCCAAAACTCCATCTGAATTTGGAACATGGAGGCACAAAGCAGGTTTCCCGGGTCGAGCGAATGTGGTGTCCACGCACAGTCACTCTGGCGAAGGTGTGTTCTATGGACACGCTTTGGCTTCCCTTGCGTCTGGCCTTGGCATGCTCTGGGGCCGCCCTGCCTGTCCTGCCTGGAACCACGTCCAGCCTAGCGGAGCCAGCAGCTGGTCACAGGGGTCTACGGGGTCTCTCTGGCAGGCCCCTCCTGTGTGCCTGTCCATGCAGCCCGGTTGTGGGAGGCCCCGACCTCAGTGGCAGTAAGCGCGAGACCCTACCTGCTTTCCTCGTTTTCCTGGCCTTCCTGTGGGTCCTCGGTGTCCTGCTACCCCAGGCTCCCCTTTTGGACCCATTTCACCCTGAAAGAAGGAAGAGAAGGCAGGAGTCAGGCGTGTGGAGTGGGCACGCTTAGACTTGTCCAGTCCTCGGCCAAAAGGCCTGTGTGCTCAGCCCTTCTAACTCTTTCCAGCTGGACGCTCCGAGGCAAGGGGCTAGCCTTGTGGGGGCAGAGAGCTCTCCAGGGAGAGGGGGTGGGCACAGCAATGCTGGGTGGGCTGCTGGCCATCTGATAGAGGGCTGTGGGTGGTGCACGCCTGGTGGCCACATGGGAGAGCCAATTACTTCCGGGATGGCCCAGTGCTGTGCACCCCAGTCACTCTTGTGCCCACGGGCTGGCTGGGAACGTGCTTCCTCTTCTAACTCCCATCTTTGTTGGGGGGGCGGCAGGTGGTGTGGTGGCTAAGGCACTGGACTCCCATGTAGCCGACTATAGTTCAAGTCCTGGACCTGGAGGCTGGAAACTCATGCTGGGCGTGTGTGTGTGCCCAGGATCCCAAGAGGGGAATAGAGGAGAGGGGACTGTGCTGTGGCCACCCCCCGGGGGCATCTTCTCACTTTCTCTCTGTCTCTCCGGGGAGCTCGAGTGCCTTATAGCAAAAATCTCTCTCTTTTTTAAAAAAATAATTATTCATTTAATTTTATTTATTAATTCATTTATTTTAGTTTGACCAGGGAGAGAGAAAGAGAGAGAGAGACAGTGAGAAAGCAAGCCCCCAGGTCTGAGACACTAACCGTGGTTGGCCATCTGGGAGTGTCCAGTGCCTTAACCACCACGCCACCTGCTGGTCCCCTTAAAAATCTCTCTTAAAAAAAAAAGAAAGAAATCTTTGTTGGGGCCAGTCGGGCGGCTGGGTCCTCCATAGCCAACCACACGGTTCAAGTCCTGGACCCAGCAGCTTGACAAGCATGACGGGGATATCTGCATACAGGCCTAAAATCCCAAGGAGAAAGTGCATCGTGGTCATCCCCTCAGGGGTGCTTTCTCACTTTCTCCCCCCCACACCCCAAGCATACATGTCCTATAGCAAAAAATCAACCAAACAAAAAACCTGTTGTGTGCTGTGCAGGTGCACGCGCTCACCAGAGAGCAGAGTGGAGAGCAGAAGGCACCCCACAGGGAGGGGTCACACTGCAATCCTCTCTCCTCCATGTTGCCCTTCTTTGGGAGTTTGGGGCACATGCACGTGCATCTGGTATGTTTCGTGAGTTGCAGTTCACCATGTGAGGTCCGGCGGCCTTAACCACTCCACGGATCCCCATTTTGTTGTTAGCACTGATTAAAATACAAAATTTCTGAGTGACCGGACAGTTTAGCCAGCTACCGTCTTTAGGAAGTCCTGCTTACTCAGTGAGTGTTGCCTAAGATCATACACAGCCATGCGTTGCTTAACCGTGGTGACACGCTGAGAAACGTGTCGTTGGGCGAGTTCCCTGTTGTGCAAACATCAGCGTCTCCTTACATGGTCTGCGCGGTGTGGCCTGTCACACTCCCACGCTGCGTGGGGTGGACGGGCCTGTCGGAGCTGCGGGAGCACCGTCATAGATGGGCCCACGACGGGGACTCCGCGTGGGGTGGACGGGTCTGTCGGAGCTGCGGGAGCACCGTCATGGATGGGCCCACGACGGGGACTCTGCGTGGGGTGGACGGGCCTGTCGGAGCTGCGGGAGCATCGTCATAGATGGGCCCACGACGGGACGCCGTGGGGCGCCTGTGTGTCCCCACCCTTCAGTGAGCATCGGTGTGAGTGCCAGCTCACTTCAACGTGATTTAGATGGAAACTCTTCTAGAAGGTCCAAACACACATTCATATATTCACTCTGATTGCAGAGCATGGATCCCAGTGTGAACAACATTCTTCACCGAAAAGCCCGACGCTAACTTCCCGAAGTAAATACGCCAACTGTAGAACTGCATAGTTTGAGGCCAGTCCTTGGCAAAACCCCTTTCTCCGTCATCTCAGATTCTTGCCTTGTTCTGCATGTTCCTCTCTGATGCCAGACCCACTTCCCATTTCCCCGGGCCGTGAGCCCATGGGGCATGTCATTCCTGTCTTCATAACCCCCTGCAGCCCGCAGCACAGGACCGGCAAGGCAAGTCTCCCCAAGAGGGCCTGCCCGTCAGCAGCCAGTGTCTGGGAGGAGCCCCGCCACTCGGAGACAGTGAGGAACACCGGGCACCTTTTCACACGGAGGTCAGCGGCATGGCACGATGGAAAACCCCAGGGAGCGCTTGTAGCCAGTAAGGGTCGAGCATCAGGCTCTGCAGTGACGTCAGCTCGCCAGTGTGGGACCGTGTCCCTGCCACGCCCTCTCCAAAAGCTGTCCTTAAACCGGTGGCCTCTTTCCGACCCTCGAGTCCTCCAGCACTCTAGGCCGTGGGCAGGTGGGAGTGTACTGGCCGGAGCCTGTGTGGGCACAGTGTCTGGTCTGACCTCCCTCGCTGCCCAGAGGGGCCGGGGAATGTCTCACGGCGGGAGAAAACAGCCACATGAATGACATCCATTCTTCTAAGAGAATGCCACAGCAGGACCGCCCTTCATCAACTGGAGGCAGCCGGAATTCCTTGATCGAATTTCTCTCCTAAAACCTAATTACAGTTCTCATATCAGCTCTGCCATGAAACAGTCTTCCATGAAAAGGGAAGAAAACTCTTTAGATAGAAAGTCTAGTAAATGGCAGAGGCCAGAGAAGCTGTCATACTTAATTTTACAGTAATTTATTATTCTTTGATGCATTATTCTATGATGTCTTCTTTGCACTCAATGAACCTAGTCCGAATTTTTTTTAAGGCTTTTGCCATAGGACATGTGCACTCACGGGAGAGAGACAGAGACAATGAGAGGGAAAGTGAGAAATCACCCCCCCAGGGGGGATGGCCATGCCGCAATCTCTTCTCCTCCATTCTCCTCTCAGGATCCTGGGCACGCACGCACAGGCGCCCGGCGTGAGTTTAAGCCACCGGGTCCTGCACTCGAACCCTGGTTGACTACATGGGAGTTCAGCGACATAGCCACTACACCAACTGCTGGTCCCAACCTAAAAATTTAATGAAACTATTTTGTTCTCTTTTCATGTTTCCCTTAATTTGTGTCTATAACTAATGTATTTTTTAACCCGACATCTCACGTAGGGTAAGAGGGACAGCGTCTCTAAGAGCTCGAGGTGGTGACAAGTCATAATAAACGAATGGCCGATGGCAGAAAAGGCTTGAGCACGCTGTCGCCTGGGTAACAGCAGACACAAATTGTTCGTGCGCTGCTGCACAATGAAACCCGAAGGCAAACTTCTGAAAGTTACCAAGTCTAAGCGCGCATCTCCGTGCCATCTCTGGACGTTAGGGCCTGAACCCTAGATTAAAGTAACGCTTCGCAACACCAGCGCCTGACGGTGTGAGCAGCAGGCCGGCTTGACCGCTGTCCCGAGAGGTCGTCCGAGCACGCCTCTCTGCTTCTGACCCCTCCCTTCTCCCTCCTCATTCTTCCCCAGACCCTAATCCTATGTAAAAGCTTCCAAAAAGCTGCCTCCAACTACCACTTTCACAATCTCTGTCGTGTCTGTACACCACTCCTATCATTCACTGAGTATTTTTCAAGCTACCTGAAATTGATTGCTTTTTTTTTTCTGTTAGTTTGTCCTAAACAGGATTTCCAACTATTTAAATTAAAAAATTAAAATAAGTCTGCTGCCATCCAGTTAAAATACTGTATGCCTGCAAGGCTGTGAGCCACGCTCGAAGGAGGCCTGGCTGAGAGCAGCGGTGGTCACGGGAAGCCAAAGATGACTGTGTCTGGCCGCGCTGTGGGCTCACGAGCCGCGACCATTACTATGGGCCCAGACCGAGTCTCCTGTCATCGGGTTTTCTCTCCTCTCCTCTTCCCTCCTCTTTGCCCTTTTCTTTCCTTCCTTTTTTCTTCTTCTTTTTAATTGTTAGAGGGCACGTGAGCTTGCCAAAGAGAGAGGGAGACAGAGGTGGAGAGGGAGACAGAGACAGAGACGGAGAGGGAGACAGATGGAGAGTAAGACAGAGATGGAAAGAGAGACAGAAACAGAGAGGGAGGCAGATGGAGAGGGAGGACACACCCCTAATGGGATCCGGTCACGCCACAACTTCTCCTCCATCTCGTCACCCTGCGGGGACTCTGACACGCAAGTGCATGTGCCTGGCATGCCTGTTCAAGTTGCCGGGGCAACGTAAACCATTGTTGATCATGTGGATCTGGCTCCTTCAACCACCAGCTCAAGGAGCCAGCCTGAGTTTTCTGCTTTTGAAAATTAAAACCCTCAAAGAGCTAAGAGAGGCCAAGATGGGCCTCTCTCCACCCAGGGTGGACATCTTTCTCTGGCTGAACTGGAGGGAGACAGCAGACCACCCCACCCGCTCTCCCGGATATAAGGCCACTGGCTCCTATCCCCAACCAGAATGGCCCACGGGGAGCTCACGCTCCCTGCCTGACGGGACGGAGGAGTTCTTTCCAGCGACCTTGGGGGACCGGGTGTTTTCCTCAGGCCCATTTTCACCGTTTCTAGGTACTTACTTTCTGCCCCAACATGCCAGGGAATCCCGGGAAGCCCTGTGAAGAGAGCCAGAGATGTTGCGGCGTCTCTGAAGCAGCATCGGAGAGGGCCGTGGGTGTGCGGGGCCGCCACTCCCAG